TTAATAGTACAACATTAGGATTTCAATTCATGTTTTAATAGTATTAGGGTTTCAATTTAACGCTTCAATTGCCTACTTTTGAAACGGATAGAAGATCGTGTCTTGGAACCAACAAAGATAAGTATTCTTAATAGAATTGTAAATGCAGTTACTGCATGGTCAATTGATGTGACGCCATAGATAATTGTCAATTGTTTTAAGCATTGCTAAATTAGGACCCCCAGTATAGATGAATTGCAAGTTATAAATAAAGTAGATAAGGAGAATTAAAGAGTTATTGTCGAATTTAATAATCAGATTTGACAACGTCACTACACTAATCGAATAGATATTAATGTCTTTCTCAATCATCTAAATGAGCTATAAGTCATGTATGTTTTAACTAAAGAAGAAGTCATTGCTATAATTTGACAAAATGAGAAGGGAAATAATTATGAGGATGATAGTATGGAAATACAAAAATTTTCGTGTTGAGAAGCTCTAAACATGCTTGAGAAACTAGAAATATTTTGGAGAGGAGCGACTTCCAACCAGTGTATTTCGTATCAGAACTAATGTAGATAAATTTAGTCTGAGGGAGACATTTTTAGAGAGAGAAATTTTATTGTTATTTTGATCTGCCTTCTAAGAGAAGGGAAGCCCTCTGTTATAGGGAAAGAGGGGAGTCTTACAAGCGACACATATTACATTGGGATAAGAAAGAACAAAATCTAAAGCGACACATGGAAGGCCAGGATGTGGCCAACAAAACAATACAGACACGCGTAACAAAATAAAATAAAGCAACAAATAAAAGGCTAGGATGTTGCCGACACACAGGAGAAGATGCCCGAGTGCATGGTGATATCATGGACATAAATCATTGTCCCAAACAGTTTTAGATAATATTTTATTTCATCTTAAACCCTTAATGCAATAGATCATATATTTTTTTGTAATATACAGATAATTATTACTATGTGGAGGCAACTTTCCTTAAAACGAGAATTAGAATAATTATAATTTATTACAATATGAAATTTATTCTTATTTATAACTATCTCTAATTGAGAATAATTTTTTTTATAATTATATAGAGTTTATTCTTATATAGAATATCACTATGGAGATGTTTTACTGTATTATTTCAAGAAATATGAGGTATTTCAATTAAGTTATTTAATTTGTCTCTCAAACCTACTCTAGTAGTGGTGGATCCTATGAGACGCCGAACTGATGGGGCATTTTGTTATCCCTAAGCGCACATCGAAGGGGTGTAGATGTCTATTTTTCACACTTTGAGGGCAGGTCCATATAATCTCCTAAAATTGCATATCAAACATCCTCTTGCTTGAAAGAAATCGTTCTCTATTTCACAAAATCTTAAATTGAAATTCAAAACTTTCCTTGTTTGTAATAGAAGCTCCAAGCATGAGAAATTCAGAAGCTGCGATCTATAATTGGTAATATGTGGCACGTGATCATTGATGTCTAGCTCTCATCCATCCAATCTGGACAACAAAATTGTATAGGGAGAACGACATGTTCCCACCCAAGGTTGGGCAAAACGACACTTTCTCATCCGTAAAGTTTTAAAATGACATTTTCTCAATTTTCGTCAAGTTCTATTAGTGTTTTCTATTAATATTTGACTGAAAAGACGATAATACTTTTAAATAATTTATTATAAATTAAAATTTAGTTAAGTTAAAGTTTTTGTTCGATTATTTATTAGTTCAAATGCAAAGATATATATTTTTTTTCATATGTTTATTTAATTAACTAGGAATATTGATTTTCTATGTTAATTAGTAACAATAAAAAACATTATAAATTTAGTAGATTACTGAATAATATTGATGACATTATAAATAAATAAATAAATATTAAGGTTCAACTTTAAACAATTTCATAGCATTACTCTTAACTTTTTAGGTGGGGTTAACTATTTTTTTTTTTTTTTATATTTGACTTTTTGGCTAATTAAAAAGTTTAAGGGTATTTTCGTCTTTTCAATAAAATATTAATATAAAATATAACAGAACCTAACAAAGGGTGGGAAAGTGTCATTTTAAAACTTGAAGGGTAGAAAAGTGTCGTTTCGCCAAACCTGGGGGGGGGGGGGGGGGGGGGGAGGAGAATGTCGTTCTCCCAATTGTATAATGATATTATGTTCTCAAAACAAGTTTTATCAACAATCTTAGTACCAACAAAGCTATGGACACCAACTTTTTGCACCGAAAATGTGTACATGCCTACGTGTCCCCCTGACTCACACCAACAATCCAAACGTGTGATTAAACAATAAATATTTTTCTACTCCCGTCCATATTATATGGACGGGGGTCCATTTACTACGGACGGGCGTCCACATTTAAAGGACGCCCGTCCATAAGTAAAATGTAATAAAATATTTTTATAAAAATTAGAGACGGTCGTTAATCCATTATGGATGGCCGTCCATTCATTTTGGATGGGCGCCCACAAATAAGGACACTCGTCCTTAACCCAAATATGAAAAAAAAAAAAAAAAAAAAAAACTTGGGGACGGCCGTCCACAACTTACGTGCCCATCCATTATTTTTCACTTTAAAAAAAAACTTTGGGGATGCCCATCCACGAATTATGGATGACCGTCCCTTACTTTTGGATGGGCATCCATAAGAAATGGACGCCCATCCATTATTTTGGTTTTTAAAAACTAAAGAAAAAATTTGTTTGGACAGGCGTCCGAAATGAATGGACGCCCGTCCATTATTTTGGTTTTTAAAAACTAAAGAAAATATTTGTTTGGATGGGCGTCCGTATTCATATGAATGGACGCCCGTCTATTAACAATGCACATCATGATAAAATATTACATTTCCTTCTTCCGCCACGTTCCTCTCACTCACCTCCTTATATCACCATTACTGTTTGCTCCATCTCTCACAATCTTTTTCATCTTTCTTTCCCATTTCGTGATCATCAACAGTTACAGTCGTCCATCATGTCTGATCATCCAAGGTCCATGAACACCCAGGAGTTCTACGACAGAGCACCAACCTTAAGATAGTTCCTTCAAACCATAGGGATGAAAATATTATTATCTCTAACCCGTCCAAGGATCCTGGCTCTGGCGCCTCAGCCACGTTCAATGCAAAAAGTAGTTAAAAACAAGTGGAATCCCAAACTCTCTCTACAAACATCACGTTCACGCACCTTGCTCTTCTCCGCCATTTTTAACTTTCTCCTAGCCAACCAAATCCGAGAGACAGAGAACCAAGAACATTAAACTCGCAAGAATCCATACGAATCGCCAGAACACCGTCACGATTAACTCGTGAAAACACATTCTTGCCCCAACCCACAGACGCCATCACCGTTGGACATTATCGCTCACCTGCTATTATCCAAATATGTGTCTTATTTACTATTTTTATTTTTGCGATTTATATTTGCTTGAGTGGAAGTGATAGTTGTTTCTTATGGAGAAGTCAAGAGACATTTGATATTTGTTAAGAGAGGAAGTATGAGTGAGAAGAAAGGATATGGCGTTAGGATTTTGAAACTGTGTTTGTCTCCCGGAGAGAATACGATTCCATTTTTGGTGTATTTTGGATAAGAGCAAAAGAGTCGGTTGATCTTTCGTAACTCTTGGGTGCTCATGGACCTTGGACGATCAGACATGATGGACGACTGTAACTGTTGATGATCACGAAGTGGGAAAGAAAGATGAAAAGGATTGTGAGAGGTGGAGCAAAGAGTAATGGTGATATAAGGAGGTGAGTGAGAGGAACGTGGCGGAAGAAGGAAATATAATATTTTATCGTGATGTGCATCGTTAATGGACGGGCGTCCATTCATTACGGACGCCCGTCCAAACAAATTTTTTTGTTTAGTTTTTAAAAACCAAAATAATGATGGCTGTTCACAATTCGTGGATAGGCGTCCCCAAAGTTTTTTTTTTTAAAGTGAAAAATAATGGACGGGCGTCCATTTATTACGGACGCCCGTCCAAACATAAGGGACGACCGTCCACAATTTGTGGACGTGCGTCCCCAAAGTTTTTTTTATTTTTTTTAATTTCATATTTGGGTTAAGGATGGGCGTCCCTTATTTGTGGGCGTCCGTCCAAAATGAATGGACGACCATCCATAACGGATTAACGGCTGTCCCTAATTTTTATAAAAATATTTTATTGTATTTTAGTTATGGACGTGCGTCCTTTAAATGAGGACGTCCGTCCGTAGTAAATGGACCCCTATCCATATAATATGGACGAGAGTCAATGTCAGTGAACGGCCGTCCATATTTGATGGACGGCGGTTCACTAGAAAAATATTTGTTGTTTAATCACACTTTTGAATTGCTGATGTGAGTCCGGGGGACACGTAGGCCAATACACATTTTCGGTGCAAAAAGGCTGGTGTCCGTAACTTTGTTGAGCCTGGATTGCTGGTATGAGTCAAAGGGATATGTAAGCTAGTACACATTTTCGGTGCAAAAAAGCCGGTGCCCGTAGCTTTGTTGATCTTAGTACTAGGATGACTAATTTGAGATGTCATTACCAAACTGATTTTCACTATAATCCAAAGCCTTCAAAATCATCCACCTCGGCTGCTGCTTTGAATGAGACGAGACGTCCCTCAATTCTCCTAACATTGACTTTATGATCTAGCCAAGTGCGGGCTGCAGTTACGAAATTAATAACCTTTTCGGCTAAGTGGCTATGGGCTGGGTTCGGCCTTGTTTTGCCGCCAACCTTTTGACAATTGCGCTAAATTCTCAAGTGTTCGGTGTCAGGTTGTGATCAACTACAACATGACCAAACCAATTTCTCAACGCCACTGTCGGCCTATTGTATCAATTATAATTTGTAGGTATCGAAAGTTTTCGACCTTTTTTTGGGTCACAGAGAATTAAAAATCTTGTTCTCAGTAAGCATTTAGCCAAAGGAAATTCAAATATTCAAAATCTTGAGCATGGCAATTGGCATAGATTGTTAAGGCCTTAATCGACTGTGAATATTATAAACAGACTATGAAACATATTCTCCATGCTGCACAGATCAAACTTACAACAAAATTCATTTACCGTTAACCTTGGAGAAAAAAGAAACATTTCCCTTATTTTTTCTCCATTTTTTGTTGTTCCTATAATCTCATTTATGCTCTATGAAACAGTCGGAAAACATTTTTCAATACACTAAATACAGTAAAGAGAAACAAAACCATAACAATCTTCTTCGAAGCTAAAATCCTGAGATTTACCCGCATACCATGTTTCCTCATTAACTTCACTGATGTTGCAACCAACATTAGAAGCCAAGAACGAATTGTATATATCACTGCCTTTGTGGTCTCCATAGGCCCATCCACATTTCCCACTAAGTCACCTGCGACCTCCATATACGGCCATTTTGGGCCTTCAGCCTGCCTCTCTTGCTGATTTAGCCCAAAACTCTCATTCAGCCAATCCGACAACCATATGAGCAGTTTTGCAAGCCAAGCAACCTCGTCATCTGAAATGGGGCGCTTCATCCAATCGCCCTTGTATCTGATATTAGCCAATGCATGGTTTCCAACTCTTTTGGGCTTAAATATTTCATCCCGAGATTGCTGTCGCTGTTCTGTTTCTAGTGAAAAGGGAATTGGCTTTATAGTATGCCCACCAAAAAAGCAGCTTACATGGGTTTTCAGTGAATCTATACATTGAAGGTTGTTGGCAAGACTATTACTCGAAATGGCTTGCAACTCAGCTTCTGCACGCAATATGAACAACTGCAATCACAGAATCATGATCAATGGATGAGAACCCTATTGCAAATAGATGTGCAAGCAATATGGCAAACATACAAATAAATGATCAATAGCAATGACAAACACCTGAAGTAGTTGTTGTCCACCATCTTCACCATCATGAAATAGTCGTAAATCTTTGTTCCAATTTTCATGCAAGAAAGATCCATCAGCATCACTCTCACATAAGCCATCCTCCCAGTCCTAGAGTTGCCAACAAAAATTTAAAATAAATAAATAAAATTACATTTTTGTAGTCAATGAATAAGATGCTTGTGCTTAATGAGACAAATAGGACAAAATCACCAAGTCCCTTAATCAAGAACCCTTGTAGACATAAAATGACAGGAATCCAAATAAGAAATGGCACCATACACGTGGTTCACGGTAATAGTGCCCATATTTAATTATGTTACTTATAAAAGTGAACCAGAAAAGAGAAATACAGCTAAGGGGGTAGATGAAAAATACCTGCAGCTGTTCACGTATAGAAGGAACATATCTATATAAGCTATTGGGCTTAGATTTGCTAGAACCAGCTGGTTTGGAATGATAAACAGCATCTACATTCTTTACAAGGTCGATCAGCTCTTTAGCTGATGTCAATACATTCATAACCTGTTAAATTAAAGTAATGGATAAGCAAATTGTAGAAGAAACAGCAACATATAGGACAAAATTTAGAACAAAGACATTACTGAGCATTAACATTATTAAAGGAGTCATGCCAAATAATTACTAATACAGATATATCAAGTCTCAGTGCACATTCACATATAGATATGATTTGCAATCTTTAAATCAGACAGATTATAACAAAAAAGACGTTAATCTGAATTCCCATTTACCAATATATAAATGAAAAGTTAGAAACCTGTAAAACACTGATTTTGTACTATATCATCCTCAACCAGAATCCCTTTCTTAATGCATGTCAATTCTAGGCAGGGTTTACACACTAGCATACGGTAGATCAAGTTGAATAAAGAAACTGTGCAGTGCACTCAAGCTTTACTGTCCCAGCCAGTGCCTCCACCCCAAAAGGAAAAAATTGAATAGACATGTTAAAGTATTTAAGGCTAAGAAATGAGTGTGCTAGTAGCTCCTGACTTAAGTCAACTTTGAACTCGTAATCTCATTCAAATGCACGTTAGATAGGCCTAGCAATCAGCTTAAGTGTTTGCTTCACTATTAGTATACTTCAATAGCACACTAAGATAATTGCACTCCACGAAGCTTTCATTAAGTACTTACACAATATATTGGCAATACTGTTCATGTACATAGCATGTACTAGAAATAAAATATAATGGGCAACAAAATAATATTAATGACACAAAACTCAGAATGATATATTTGTTATCTTAATCAACTACGAAGACTGTAGATTGAATGTCATTTGAAGCATTGGAGATAGCCAAATAAATGGAAATGTAAAATACTAAAGCTCACACGCTTTATCAATAAACTGGCAGGCAACCGAAATACAGCATAATACAGTTGAAAGAAAAGGAAAAAAGACGTAGCCACAACGTAATATCAGGATCAAACATGCAAAAGTAATTTTTGAAAAATAAGAGAATCTTTTAATGGCACCAATTACATGCATTATTAAAAAAAGTATAAATTCCTTTTTCATGCACAATGAGGGTCACTTCCTGCATGTACAACGAGTAGCAAATATTCCTAAATCAGAGCATAATTCAAGGTAAAAAATTCTTAGTAAATAATTAACTTCATACAATAAGAAAATATTCCATTTAAGGACATTACCAGGAAACAAGAAGAGGCCACTAAAATTAGATATAAGTGTGGTCTGCCTACTCAGTTGCTAAGCTGTGGGAACATAGAAATTTGAATAGATTTCAATACCAAGAGAATCCTAGTCTACAAGCACACCATACTCAATAGAACCTTTGAATCAGGTCATAACATCCATGTCCTAATTCCCCAAAGTGGACTCTAGTAATTACCCTCAAAAATCAATTTGTCCATCCATAATGTTAACAATTAGAAGCAACACCTAACAAAATATGTGATTCGGAGATTTTTGTTTTTCTAAAGCAATAAGGGCTCCAGATTCCAGGGACGATAACAAGAGGGTCTCTACACAATCCAAAATCTGTCAACTCAATCCGGTAACTGATATAGCCTTTCTCTGTAGTATTTCATCTTGAATTAATTTATCAATAGAGATGTACAGGATGGTCAGAAATATCCGAAGACAAATACCACAGCCAATTACAACTTGTTATTCACAAACACCATTACAAGAAACTAGGGCACAAATATAAAAAAGCATTCTGCTCGTACTTAATTAGTTCATTAGGAATACACAATATACCACACAGATTGAGTTATATCAAGATAACAAAATAAGTCCGGGAAACTAGCTAATACCAAAATTTTCTAGATCCAAGTGGCACAAGGCTATCAACAATAATTAAACCAAATGCCATAGTACAGGATGCAATATATTCATCAAATCCTTAGTAAAATAAGTTAAGGTTTTATGTCCAAGATCAAGAAGTCTGATAATTCCCATTAATCCATACACCATATAAAGCAAGACAATGGAAACTAATGCATGCAAAAAATATCTTTTAATAATCTAGAAAGGCATGAGAAATCAGTTTACAATAGCAAACAAAAAAATAGGAACAAAAATTCCATTCATATTTGCTAAGACACAAACCTTCAATACCATCTGGATGATTACTTCAGGATCAGTGTGAAGAAACTTGTGTGCAAATCCAATAAAGTGCATAACCAAGGAGCTGTAATATAGATAGTTTGACAGCACATAACCTTGCCATGAAGATGAATAACCACAAGCTTGAGACTGAGAATCCTCAGTCCTCACATTCTTACTAGATCCATTCACAACAGCATCAAGCTCTGCAAAATCCTCCATGCTAACCCTCCATGGCTCCATATAGGAAACCCAAACCGAAAACACCTCAGATGCATTCTTCATTGAAGTTCCCATGGGGCAAAACAAAAAAGTCCTCAATATAAACCTATAAAGTGGCCTTTGTATCATTGCATTCCAAGATCCAACACCACTCACATAAGGCACCACGGATGCTAAATCCCTAGTCTTCACACTACTATCAAACAAAACTGACTCCGAGACCCTCCATTTTGGACTCCCACTATACTCAGCAATATTCTCACACTCCTTCATAACCACAACAGAATTCAAATTCAAGTACTTAACAAACAACTTAACTAGCTCTCCTAACCCACTTGTTGGTGGGGTCTCCCCCAAAACTGAACAGAACCGATGTGACACACCAAAGTACTTGCACACATTAACAGTCAAGGGCGAAAAATCATTATCAATAAGCCAATAGTTCACAAATGCATCAACCAAAAACTCCGCGCGCAATATAACTGAACCATCATAACCACTTGTGTAATTCAAAAGTGAGCTACGATATGGTTGCTGGTGCACATTTAAATCACTAATGGGCACAAATTCGCGCAAGTACGCGTACAAAAGCCGTAAGTAAAGATTACATTCAATCTTTTGCTCTGTACCACGCTTAACATTACTCGAAAAACCTGGAATAGCATACGTCCAATTTTCTAACCTAAATTTCTCTTTCTTTGATCTCTTGATTAAATTAATATCGATATTATTTTCGTTATTTCCTCTACTAATTGGGTAATAAGCGAACCAAAACATGTAATACTCAAAAACATTTAACTGAATCTGATGCACTGAACCTATTCCTTTATTTGTATCTTCTTTTACATTACCTTTAAAAATGGAGCACAAATTAGAGAGAATTTTTGAGTCTTTTTCGCTTCGAAGCATGAACCGGGCCCACTCCGGTAATCGTTCGGTCGGAAAGACGAATTTGACCAGTGATTTTCTATCAACGGCGAAAATTGAGTTAAATACGATACCGTCAGGGGAAAGGAGGTGGAAAACCCTAGAAGCGATATCAGGATCGTTGGATGAGGAGATGACATCGATCCAACCGTTGGATTGTGAAGGTGAAGCAGCACAGGGGTCATTGGTGAAACCGAATAGTTTGAGGATGAGAGTTGGAAAGGTGAGGGAGAAGAAGTGGCGAGACTGATCGGAAGAGTGGGCGTGTAGGAAGGATTCGATAGAGGCGCAGACGGAGAGAATTTGTTGGGCAGTTGATGAGGAGAGGATTTTGGAGGCTAGGTCTTGTGATTGGGAGATAGTATCAACGGTGTAGGAATGAGGGATCATAGTTAGAATGGTGGAACCTCGTGGTCTTTAGGGTTTTTGTTGCAGAAGAAGAGAACGAAAAAGAGGTTTAAATGAGAGGAGAGGCAAATGTGGCGCGTTTGATGGGGGAGAAGAGGGGGTACGTGGCGGCAAATTAGGGTCGATTGTGATTGGTGATTATTTGTGGGGCCTATCGTAAATAAAATAAAAATGTTCTAGTTCATTACGCCGGGGATTCAAGCAAACGGATTGATTAACGTAGGCGGGAATAGTCGGAAAATAGGAAGAATGTAGGGTTCAGATCATGCCACGTCAGGTTACTCCCAACAAAATTGTGTTCCAAAATTGGATTATGTCATTACGAATTATGTCTGGTACTCTACGCTTTAAAACATACCGTACACCCTTTAGGTTTGGTGTAAATAACAATTAGACCCGAAAATTTAAACAAGTAACATCATAAATATAAACGTTATAAGAGAATCTCCAATGGTGCTCTTTATTTTGAAGAGTATCTTCCATATAAATAAAGAGTATCTTCATTAATTTTAAAATACAAAGAACACAATTTTTATTCAAATCCAATAAACTCTTTAAATTTAATGAAGATGCTCTTTATTTTTAAGAAAGAGACTTAATGTGAGAGAGAATTAATAAATAAAATACATAAGAACTTGTAGTTTATTAATTAAAATTAGAATAGAGAGTGAAATTTGACTTTCTAAATATGGAGAGTCAAACTCACTCTCTAATTTATATTTTAAAGATAAAGAGTCTGTTGAACTCTTGTTTTTATGGATAAACTATTTATAATAAAGAGTTTGGGTCATATAAAGAGTCATTTGGAGATGCTATAATATAGTGATATTTTCATCCAAAAGCTAACCATCGTTAGCATAATCCATTAGATGAAGGAGTAAAGTTGGCAAATTCCCATCTTTTTTTTTTTTTCACATGACAACACTTTTTTTTTTTTTTTTTTAACCAAGATGTCCAAGCTAACATACGCGCATCTCGATTAATCCTCGACAGAGATTAGCATAGTTACCCATCGTCATGACTAGGGGTGTAAACGAGTCGAGCCGAGCTGAATATCTGGCTACTCAAGCTTGGCTCGACTGCTACAATACCGAGCTTGAGCTCAACTGAGCTTGAAGTTTAGTGCTCTAGCTCGACAAAACTAGTGCAAAAAATATAAGGAAAACCCATTCACTAATTAAGTAAACATCAAAGCACAAACAACTTAACCACCATAACCACATTATATGAGTATTAACTGTATTATTATACATTACACTTTCCCTCACACAAGAAGCAGAACAAAAATGGGATACATAACAATGTAAAAAGCATCATTAGTAACACATCTACAAATAAACCCAAGCAAATGGTTCATAGGCATCCTAGACAACTTTTGGAAGTTGAAAAATTCATGAAGTAACTTTCTTCTATTTAGTCGAGCTTTGACATTAGAATGCAGAAGGGTGTCCCTTGTAAGTGACATATTGAGAAGGAAGTAAATCTGTAGCAAAAACAAAAACAACATAAGGGACATCACTAGACAGGGCAAGCAATCATAACCAGACAATGACCAAAACTTGTAAGAACTTTTAAATTGACAAAAACAGATGCAAGTCAACTAAAAGAAAAATTGTCTATGATTCAATATGTCCTTGCGTAAAGATATCCCATTGATTCCCTTACAAATCTTTCTACTCTTATATGTTACTAATGAGTCTATATCTTACATAATCCTATGTCCTCAATTGCAACCACTGAAATAATATGTGTTTTTGAAACAGCTTAAATGGGTTTACACAAGTGACACAATAGAACCACCCAAAATTATAGCTTAAAGGTATCACAAGTTAATACCCAAAATCAACACAACACAAAAATTGCCTCACACAACACAAGTTACACAACCACTACCTCACACAACACAAAAATTGCCTCACACAACACAAGTTACACAACCACTACCTCACACAACACAAGTTACATAATTACTACCTCACATAACACAACCATTGCCTTACACAACACAAAAACTGCCTCACACTTCAGAAGTTACATAATCAATGCCTCACACAACACAATCACTGCCTCACACAACATAAACACCCAAAATCAAGAATTTCAGTGGCATTCTTCTTCCTTTGGAGAATCAAAATCAACATACTTGCCAATGAGTCCAAAGTTGGAGGATCAAACAATCTCTTGATTTCCTTCTACTGAAGGGATAGGAAGCGTAATCTCCACTAGTTGTATCTCCTTCTAAAATACATAAAGGAAATGAATAGAAAAGTTTAAGTTAGAGTAAAATAAAAGTCAATACTAAATAAAAAGGGTCATAATACTTTTATAATTTTACTAAATGGAACTTACTTTGCTCTTCTTCTTCACTCCGTTGAGATTGTGACACCAATCACCTGCATATAATAGCACTTGGACTATTTTCGAAGACTATGAAGCCTTATAAGTGTTAATAACTCTACTCTTGGCACTAAAAGTAGCCTCTAAGGCCATCATGATGATAGGAATGGCTAGTATATCACGAGCCATCTCAGATAAGACATGATACTTCAAATTGTTCGCTTTCGACAAATCTAAAGCATTAAAAGCCTCATAATACCCCTAACGCTTGTAACATCCCTTGTCCATATAACAATCTAATTAAGTTTTTTTTCTAATTCAATAGTTTCACTTATGTCCATATAACTCAGTAATACTGGCCAACCATAAGAGTTATCTTCCATAGTCATCCCACTAACCTCTTCGATGCCAACATTGCAGTTGACGACAAAAGATTGCTTATCCACGAAATATTCACCATACAGCTTGTACAAGGCCTCCCAAACTCTTGTAACATTTACCCGTGATTCATAATCACCAAAAATCTTGGGGAAAGCATGTTCAAACACTCTCGTTTTGCACCTAGGTTCCAAGACACCAACTATAGCCATCAACAAATTACACTCCATTAATACTTATCAAACTTGTTTTTCATCTTCTTTACCATGTTATGAACAAATTCATTTTCATCATTTGCATGTTTATTCAATAATACTTTCACCTTACAAACCTCTACCAGAAATTTATTTGTTGTTGGATAGTCACTCCCTGAAATAATATGAGTGGTGTTGAGCCCTAATGTGTTTTGATGTGCTAAAACTAATCAAATGAATGTTTAAAGAACTAACAAATGTGCAAATGTATGACATAAGTCATAACCAAAATGAAAAATGCAGCTTTCCAAGTGTAACGACCATTCATCCAAATGGAATGCCTGTTCCAATAGGTTATTTCTGGAAAATAACTCCCAGTCAAACCATTCTAAGTTGGAATGACATAGTTCCACAATGTTGGTTATGATTCTATCCAAAAAAGAAGCAATCTTCTAGTTGGACTTAAAGACTCATCTAAAAGGAACGACCAAATCGAACGATTGTTCTGTCAAGCAATTCAAAACATCCGAAGACTTATTCGAAGAGGCTGACACACATTCACAAGTTGGGCATTCCTTGCGATCTAAAGAAAGAACGACCAAGCAGGATTGTCGTTCTTCCAGCTCGTTCCATATAAATGACGTAGTTCCATCACATCGTTCATTGTCTTGGAATCTTGACACTCTTTGCAACCTAAAAAAGAACGCCCGTTCCAAGTTTAAGTCAAGATTTTGGACTTAGAAGATTTTGAGCTCAAGTCAACGCTGCGAAAACTTTAAGTTAAATAAGAACAACCTCGACAATCGTCCGTTCCCAGAGTTCATCAAGCTGTTCTAAGAAGGAACAACACCATTCCAGGAATTAGTTCAAAGTTTTGGAATTTCTGGTCCTTAAGAGATCCAAGATGGAACACCCATTTGCGATAGTGGAATGACCATTTCAAGTAGGGAAGCAATCATTCCAAACCCTAAAATTCAAAGAAAAGTGATTGTTGGTGTCAGGAACGCCCGTTCCCGATGTTGGAACACCTGTTCCTCTAGGTTATGCAATTTTATAGAAAGTTGTAGAGTGCATTAAATGAAGCAATGACTCTAATTTATTTCAAGGGTTGGTGAAGGCTTAAATAGAGAGAAGTAGACTCTTGAGAAGAGAGAGAAAGTGCAACATTTATTTAAAACCCTAGAGCTTGACCTCAAGAATCATTCACTCTCATTTGTACTCGAATCTACATTCTATTAGTAAACGGTCCCGTATGCGCAGCGGAAACAACAAATTAAATTAATATAACAGGATCGTTTACATGAGCCAAGATCAAGGGTATAATTTTACAATTTTATCATAATAAGAATCTACAGAAATATTAAACATGAGTTAAGAGAAACAAACGCATGTTGGATGCCCTCCAATTGTCGACGAATGTTTTGCTACCGATCCAAGTGTAGATGAACCCACGTAGTCCACACGAAGCAATCTCAAATAACAGGAGGGATTTGCTATCCTCATTAGCCTAAGAATCAAGAAGACAAATCAATGAATTGATTTTTGGGCAATACGTGTTACTATCGTGGGAGTGAAAGAGATGGGCTGTGTGTTTTGTTTTTCAAAGAAAACCTCTATAAAAAATCACCCACTTTTTTCTTTTATATTAAAAACAATTGCCCTAATCCCATACGGAATAGGCTTGGCTCCAACCCAAACGCCCCATGTTGCCAAACACCTCCAATTTGATTTATTTTATTTTCCTCTTATCTCAATTAAAATCAATTATATATATATAAATTTATTAACATTTAACAATAATGATAATATATTTAAATATGTGCGAACACACATTTAAACGTAATTTCACTTATTTAATTTTTCTAACAAATTAAATAAAGGCTACGCCCTCAGCAAATTTAATTGCACTGTGAAATTACCAAAATACCATTTCGCCTTAAAAAGACGAAAACGCCCTTCTTTCTTCTTGGATCTTAAATTATCTTCTATGTGTTGACCCATTGGCTCCTCATCATATTGGCAGTGTATAGTATCGCGATTAATCACCAATAATCGTCTCACTAATACACAAACCTATTAGAGTAGATGCCCTAGACCAATCAATTATTGTAGAATTGACTCTTTAAT